CATATAGACTCTGCCATATGAATTCATAGCCAAGATTATTGATGCAGGTAAACTGATCAAGTGTCTGCTGAAAGACAAGAGAATTTTTATGCCTAAAAACTCTCAGGATTTTTGGGGGGCTCTAGTGATATTAGAGTTCTGAAATAGAGTATGTTCTGAAGTAGAGATAGAGTTCTGAAATAGATATGACTTTTTTTTTTAGAAATTATTGGAAATTTTTGTTTAATTTATCCCAGTATTTAAAATGATTTTTAAGATTTTAAGATTTTTTTTGAAATGTTTTGACATAGGAGGAAGGAAAGTTAGCACCCTGTTTTAAAATACAAGTCTTAGCTGCAACTAGCGAAAATACAATTTATGTTTTAAGCATGTACAAAATGAATAAACATCATCTCTTTCAGTCTTACCTATTTGGAAGTTATTCTGATTACTCCAAGGAAGGTTTAAGCTCGAAAGGAAAGGGGCTCAAAGGGAACCACTGTGAGATACACAAATGTTCAGGTATACAGTGTGAGTTAATCAAGAAATTTCTCTTAGTAATTATTGAGAATGTGAGGGGCACAGAAAAATAACTTCTGATGAATAAGAAAGAGAATGTGAATGTACATATAAACATCCCTTTCTCACTGGGCAAAACCGCATTGGAATTGTTTAGGAGGATCAGCAGCATTGAGTGGATGGGAGTGTGTCTTCTCTGGAGACAGGTTTGCATGTGGAGATGTCATCATCCCTTACCAGGACAGATTTTTGAAGACTCACAGCCCTTGACCATTTGCTGGCTTCATGATCTCCATCTCCATAGGGCTTTGTAGCAACTCTCATGGTCTCTCTGACAATGTGTACATTAGGCAACCTTAAGGAAACACATAATGGAATTAATGTTTATATAAAAATCATAGTTGTTTCCCTCCAGTGTTATAGCATGCTTTCCCCTCCCCCACTTTGAAAGGGGAAAATAATGCATTGACTTCTATTGTCTGGGAAATCTGACGGGTAGACCTGGTTTTAAATGTGGCTGGATTTCAGGGTCAGATGATAGAAGGGACCATCTCTCTACTTGGTTTGGCTGTTGTTCTTGTTTGTTGTTGCTGCTGTGGTGGTTCATTTATTCTGCCTGGATTTTGTTCTCATGCTCATAAAGATAGAAGCTCTGATGTCCACTTGCAGATAAGGACACTGAGGCACACAGAAATCAAGTAATTTTCCTTGTGAGACAGTCTGTGAACTTCCCACTGCCCCATGACACCTGCTTATGTCTGCATCCAACTCAACATTCCCTGCCCTAGTCATGGCGCCCCCTGCTGCTCACCCAGAGAGTTGCAGGGATCCCCGCTTCAATCTTCTCCATCCTCTTTGACCCCCAAATGCTTCCTGACACCTGACTCCCACCCATTCAGAGACTAACGTATGTCAAGATTTACAATCTCACCAAACAGGAATGAAAACTACAGGAAGTAGTTATTATTTAATGTTATTAGTAATGTTATTGCTATTGTTAATGTCATTATTATTTCTTCATTTCACTTCCATTTTCTCTGGAAGCTGATTCGGGGCTCCTGCCTCTCATCTTCTCTGTCTACTTCTCATCCCTATCCCCAGGAGGTTTTAGACAAAGATTAGTGCTCATGCATCATGCAACTCCATGGCTTCCCCTGGTGATGTGAAACATTTGGGGTGATGGGGTTTGCTCAGACAGCTCCACAAGGATGCAGGTAGGGACCTGTCAGAAATCTACCTTGTGTACAGCTCCTCAAAGATCCCAGGTTAACATTCTTTGTGGTCTCCAAGCCCGATAGACAGGGAGGAGTCACTATTCATTAGCCTCCTCTCCGGCTGCACCAAGCAAAACTTTGCCCCGGGAGATACTGTGACGTTCTGCCCTCTTGATAGAAGGTACAAAGCTGAGCTCCAGAAAGAGATTCAGGGCTTTTGGGGGCTGCTCCCTAGGCTGCCTCCTGCCCCTAGGTGAGCACTGTATGCTGCCACTCCTGACTGGAGAGACAGGGTTTCAGACAAGATGCTCAAAGTCATAGGGGATCGTGGATGAGATGGGCCAGGTATACTTCTGGGGTTTGCTTGAGAGCGTGAGAGTGAGTCCCTGAAAGTTGAGGCACCCTCCAAGCCTACAAAACCCCCTCCTGAGAGCAGGGTCCTCATGAGGGTCTCAATGCATGAGACAGTCAGGGTCATGCCATGGGCTCCGTATGAAGCCAGTTCTGCCATCTTCATCCTGACTGTTCAGACCAGGCAACACTGACCATGCACATTCTAGATGGAGGGAGGGACATGTTTCTACAGGGACTTGGCACAATGCTGTGTCTAAAAGGAATGCTCCATGTTGATGCAGCCAAGTAGAGCTGATCAGGTGCTCTCTGTGGCCATGGTTGCTGGTTTATTTTTTGTATTCATCCCATCTTTTTCCTTAGTAATAAGGACCTGAGATAAGGAGCCCAGCTAAGAAGGATTTTACATTCTGTATTCTCCACTTGCTTCTGAAGTTAAGCACCATAACAGCCCTATGAAGAGGAAACATTTCATATCCCAATTTTACAGGTATAGAAAGAGGCTTAGGGGAGGGAGATAACTGAGATCATGTGGCAGGCAAGTGGCAATGCTGGGTTCAAA